ACCGGAGGGTTATTCTTTTGGAATTTCCCCAAAGCACGGAATCCATCATCAGCATGATTCCTCACATTCACATTGGCCGGAGGATTCTGCCCAATTGCCCCCGCCAATCTCGTCAATGCCTCCGCAATCGCTTCGTCGTTCCTCCCTGCAACCATCTTACTAATTCCAGCAACAGAACCACGTAAGGACAACCAATATTGATAATGCATCACACGCATATCAATAACACACAGGGAAAAACACTCTAACAACTTGGCCGGACGGACCGACCTGCTCTGATACCACTTTGTAACACCCCCTTCTATACCCCAAATAAATGCATATAAAACATTTAAGCATATACAAATTCATCAGAGTAAAAGTTTTAGAATAAGGTATAAAAGAAGAATGTCACAACTTCACCAATAAAACACTTTAACATTTTGCTCTATAAAATATGTAACATTTTCAAAAGTAAGCGGAAGATCAAATCATTTAAGCAGTTCCAAAATATTAATTCAAATGCACATAAGTCATCCAGATTAATACATCATATCAGTTAGATTACAAAACCACATCAGCTGATACATCGCAATGTATCACAAAAGAATGACTATACTAGTCTAACTACCCGGTGTTACATATCAGAGCAGCAGACTCAAAAGAATGAAGACTAATCTTCACAAAAGGACTCCAGCATCCTAATCTGCAATGCCTCGTAGAGCATTATAAAACAGCAGAAGGGTGAGAAATATAACCATAATAATCAAAGCATAAGATTATATATATATAGGTAGTCATATAGCACATATTCACATTTCTCACCACACTTCATTCTCATAGTCATATATATTTACCACACATATATATATATACAAACATGGATATTCACAAAGCATTCCCACATTATGTATACACTTACAATTTCCACAATCTCATCATTCACACATAAGCATCACTTCATGCATATGTCATATATCAATGTGACTCAACAACTCAATGCAACTCATGCAATGCGGTACCGACTCTCGTTATCTTTTTTCGGTTTTTACATTAAACCGGGTCCACACTTCTAGACCGATAACCCGTTATCTTTTTTCGGTTTTTACATTAAACCGGGTCCACACTTCTAGACCGATAACCACAAAGGCCCGTCCTCTAAGCCTTCAAACCCACACTTCTAGGTTTGGGACAAGCCACTAGTTTCCACGAAACTAACAGACATTGCCTCTTGACTAAATGATGCATGTACAATCAACCACAACAAATGCACTTAAGACCGACATCTTAATCTCATGCATTCGAATAATTCACCCCTTCGAGAATATCATCATGATTGCACATACAACATATATCAAACATTTATCAATGTATTCATTTCACACATCATCATCATATTCAACAACAATGCACACATATCACATATGTTCCCATTCATTCACACAATCAATCGCATATAAATATGCACTCACAATTCATTAGACGATACACATACATTCCTCATTGTATTCCCATGTATCTATAATTATCACAACAATCAAGGTATTCACATCGCAATACCAATCATACAATTATAAGTTATGCACACATATTCAAAATGTTCTCATGCATACTCATTACATAATTGTACACAACAATCAAACATTCACAACTCATCAATTAATAGACACATAATCATCATTATGTTCTCATGTATTTTAACCGATTACAATTAATCATTCATATCACAACTCTAGGATTCACGCCCGAAGGCTACCCACAACACATGTTACCATAATAGATCATATCTATATCCTTATCATAAGGTATCCACCTATGTGAAACAACCAAACCATCTCCACATGATCAACACAGCAAAAGAAGAATGCTGTCAAACTCGCCCACATTCGCCTGGCGAGACCCCGCAACGAACCTTCGCCTGACCTTCGCCTGGCGAACCCTCTCAGTGAACACTCGCTAGGCTTCGCCTGGCGAGACTTCCCAGCCAGCCCAAGTCAGTAGCTACTGACTTCATCGCCACCATTCGCCAGCACCTTCGCTGGGCGAACCTTCGCTATCCACCTTCGCCTGGCGAACCCACCAGCGAAGTCCACTGGACTTAAATATAATTACTCGCCAACATTCGCTAGGCTTCGCCTGGCGAAGCTTCGCCTTCGCTCTCCTGGCGAGAGCCAGCGAACCTGCGCAGAACAGAACCCTATTCTGTTCCTCCTTCACCAATCCATCATCAACCCTCTCTTACACATCCAAATCAGTATAAACAGCATCAATACATGTTACCCGACTATTCTACGGCATTATTACTCAGTTTCAACCGATTAAATCATCAATCTACCAATTATCCAACATTTTGCCCTAAATGGAAAGTGATGAAAACTCTACCAAAGCCCCAACCCAACATACATAACATCATACAATGATCAAATAGAAACATTTCTCACCCTTACCTCGATTAATCGGAGCTTTGATGTTGGTTCTTGATGAATTCCACTTTTCCTTTTCTTCTCTTCTCTTTCTCTCCTTTCTTCTTCTTTCCTCTTTCTTTCCAAATGTTTTTCTAACTTTCTTTTCTTTTCTTCCTCACTTATATATTTCTTTCATTTTTCCTTCCTCTCCAATTCCTTCTTAATTTTCTATCCATACTAATTAATAAAAATTAATTTCCAACATTAACATAAAATCCCACTAAATCAATTAATTACTATAATTAATTATTTAATGAAATTTTGGGCTGTTACAGAACCCGCCAAGGGGACGCCATTTCTCCTTACATTTTTGTGTTATGTGTCGATAAACTCTATCATATTATCATGCAAGCTATTGAAGAGGGTGAGTGGAAAGCTCTCAAGGTTGGAAAACATGGGCCTATGGTGTCTCATCTAATGTTTGCTGATGATTTATTGTTGTTTGGTGAAGCTATGGAGAGGCAAATGCAATGTGTTATGGATAGTTTGGACAAGTTTTGTGAGGCGTCTAGGGAGCAAGTGAGCAAGGACAAGACTCGTGTCCTATTCTCTATAAACATTCTTAGACGTATGAAGGAGAAATTGCTTTACATGTCAGGTTTTAAGGAAACCTCACACCTTGGAAAATATTTGGGTGTGCCTTTGACGGGGAAAGCTCCCAAACGTTCTGAGTATCACTATATTATAGATCAGGTCAGTGCCATATTAACAGCTTGGGAAGGTAGTCTTTTGGCATTTGCAGGGAGAGTAACTTTAGCCAAGAGTGTGATAGAAGCCATTCCCATTTATTCGATGATGACAACATTATTGCCTAAGGCTTGCATAAAAGACATTCATAAATTGCAGAGAGGATTTGTTTGGGGTTACACTGCTGAAAGGAGGAAACATAATGCTATAAACTGGAATACTTTAATGCGACCAAAGGATGAAGGAGGACTTGAGTTGAGGAACTTGGAGTTAACGAACAAGGCAGTTTTGGCTAAAAGCAGTTGGAAGTTGTATAATGGATGTGAAGACTTTTGGTGCAGTGTAATTCGAGGAAAGTATTGTAGTAATAAGGATTGGTTTAGTTGTGCTTCCAAGAGTTCATACTCTAGTTTTTGGAAAAGCTTAGTGAAGTTATGGCCAGATGTTAATAATCAGTGAGTGTGGAAGGTGAGAGATGTAACTATAGTCAACGAGTGGAATTCTATATGGCTGGGAAAAAACCTTCGCATTGCTAATTTGGAGGTAGAAATACCGATGCAGCTGCGGCGAGCCAAGGCAGCTGATCTAGTGAGTGACGAGGGTGATTGGAAGTGGGATCTATTGCGTGACTGGTTACTAGTGCAGGTTTTGAACAGATTAGCTTGACATACCATCTGCTAGAGCTGGTGTTGATATGTGTGTGGGCATTAGAGAAAATGGGAGTGATTTTACGGTTGGAGGCATGTCTAATAACGTGGGAGAGAGAAACAGGTGGCAGGATGTTTGGAAGGTGAAAGGGTCAGAGTTTTTATTTTTCTTCTTAAGCATAATGGTATTTTGAAAAATAGTAAGAAAAGCAAGATGGAATTGGGCGTTGCTATGTGTCGTTTTTGTGGCGACAAGGAAGAGGATGTGATTCATGTTCTAAGAGATTGCCCGTTGGTTTTTCCTGTGTGGTTTGAAATGGTGCACACTAATTCGCGTTCAACTTATTTTTTGCAGTTATTTAGGTGAGTGGATAGAGCTAAATATGACCAATGATATGGGTTGGAAGTCTGATGTTGGGTGGAAATCGGTTTGGGCCACGACATGTTACAACTTTTGGAGGTGGCATAACCGAGAAAGTCATGATGGTAACTATGCTAGACCGTCTAATATGGTGAACCATATATTCAGATAAATAAAAGATTATAATCAGGCAAGACATAATAGTTTGATTGTAACCAAGAGGTGCAGAAGGATTGGATCCATGTTAGGTGGGAAGCTCCCACAGAGGGGAGAGTCAAGTTAAATATGGATGAGACGAGAAACCATCGAGGAATAGCTAGTTGTGGTGGCATTATAAGGGGAAATGAATGTGAATGGCTTGGTGGTTTCACCAAACACTTAGGGATTTGTCGAGTGTATACAGCGGAGCTATGAGGTGTGTTTAAAGGTCTAAAGCTAGCTATTAATATGGGGTTTAAGAAGATTGATTTGTGTGTGGATTCGCATCAAGTGGCATTAGATATTAATAACACCTATTCTATGGATAACTTGGGAAGTGATCTCATCAAGAGAATTAGGAATTTATTCCGGGATGATAGAGATATTATAGTGACTCACGTGTTTTTGAAAGCAAATAGATTGGATGTCATTTCCACCTTATCAAAGAAAAAATTAAAAAAAATCAACCAATTTCTTTTTTTTTTTATCATTAAGCTAATCAACACATTAATTTAACCGATGCATAATATAAGTTTCTATTTGATCAATCTTTTTATATTACACAACCTACCACCATCACCCCAAGAAGATCAAAATAATAAGAAAATGCAGGAGGATGTTACTAATATTGAATGTGAAGACAATAAAGAGACCCCAACAACACTAAGTCTGAAACTGAAAATGAAATTTTGCTTTCATTTTCTCATCTATAAACCCAAAATCTCCCAAGAATGGTTTAGGATATGTAACAAGGAAAACATTGTTGTTTCCTACAAAAGACACTGCATTGTTACAAGCTGGAATAGCACTAGAAATATGAGATATTGGTAACAAACAATTGGCAAGAAGTACTTCTCCTGTAGAACTGAAGTAATTATTTTGCCAATAATTATAAGGTTGTGGAATAATAAAGTTCACTGCATCTAGATCAATTTCAAACAAATCCTCATCATCCTCTTCCATAAATCCCAACTCTTTGGAAACTTCTCTTTGTTCCTCTGAAGTCATGTTTTGTGTATTAACGTTGTCACGTAGAATGTTAATATATACATTAATGTACATGTACATTTATATAGCTGGAATTTGGATGTTAAGTTGGGTGGTGGCAAGTAGAACGCTCATCAACAAATGTATAGTGGGAATTTTAGAGGAGCTGCTCCACCATAATTCAACACTTACATGTTGTTGACATTTCGATTCTAATGATGTTTGATTAAGTTTCACCAAAATCATAACACCAAGTCAAACGTAGAGCTACCTACCTAACAGAAGTAGAAAAGTGTTGACATCATGCCATCACTTAAATTAAATTGAGAAGTAGCAATAGTTAATTCATAAATCTATGTGACATCTTGAATGTAAAAAAAAAAAGCGTGTAATGTAAGATTAATTAAATAATGGAAAAATTATTATTTTTAATTTAAAAATTATTAATTTATATATCAACAACTTATTTATATTAATTAATAAATAAATATTATTTAAGAATCTCTAAAATATGAGACCCTGTCACTTTTTTTTAACCATTCTTTCAAGTAGTTGGACAATTACAATATTATTTGAATGATGAAACTAATTGCCACTCAAGAAACTCTAACCTTTAATATATGAATGTCACTAGCGAATAAAATTTAACCAGTCAACGAAAAATAAAAGACTCAATAAAACTAAAACACATCTTGCTTGTCAAAGTATGAGTCTTTTCATGGAGGGCTCCTCTTTAAGTAGAAATCGAATCCATTTCTAAAGTCCATTAGAATTTGTAACATTCCGTGCGACCGAAACAAATCCAATCGCGCCAGTAATTATTTTTCATTAAGATGATTTGCATTCTTTAATTGGATAAATCTTCAACAATCAAATTTGTTTTCTTTAATACTTGTAAATTGATCTTATAATGTCTCACAATCTATAAAACATCTTGCTCAACATGTTATAATCATTACTAGGGAAAGGTTTAATTCGCCAACTCTTCACTACGTTTGGCATATGCAATTGTGTCAAGACCTTATGTTGTAATAATGAGGTAACAGTCCACTTTATGTTTAGTTCCATCAAGGTTTCCAGAGTTCCTCATATAATATGCGGTGCCATTCAATTCGCAGCTAAGGTGAAACCTCTTGGACAACAACTTTTGGATCAAAGACTCAGTCGGCTAATCATGAGCTGTTTTTGGGATACAAATTGTTCTGGCCTGGGCCCCGGGCTGACTATGCTGGCCCAGCCCAATAATGTTCCACCAGGCCCTATCCAGTCGGGATACCGCGTCGGGCACAAGATCCCCGACACGCAAGAAAGATCTCCCCGCGAGGAAGACCTGTCCCAACCACGTCGGGCAAGAGAATCGCCCGCACGACCAAGCACCGCCCTCCGCGGGCGGTGTTCCCCATGCCGTCGAGCAGGACACCATGGCTCTCCCACGTCCACGTGTATTCCCCTCCTCGGGGAGAACAACATGCCTCCGGGGAACCTCGCGAGCTCCCTTCCGCGGGGAGAACAACGTGCCATGCGCACGTTCTCCACTGGGACACATCATCTCCCAACTGCCCCCCCTCCGAAAGAGCAGGTCAAACCCATCTTCCGGAGATCACGGGACAGTTGGACTAGGGCAAAGACCCCGTTCTGGTCTTCACTACGCCACGTAAGCCCTAGCAGTCACTTGGGTTGGGCCTGGCAACCCAGCCCAACACAAGTGACTGTTGGCCCAACGCTGGGGTTTCTCTATAAATACTCTCTTCCACAAGAGGGTCAGGTAATTCACTTCTTACCCACTTTTCTGTACTTTGCTCTTGCTCTGCCCAACTCCTTAGTTTGGCATCAGAGTGTCTTGCAGGTACACCCCCCCTTCTCCTCCTCATCACCGGTGAACAGGCAGCAGTCCAACAGCGTGTGGCCAGTCCGTGATCCCCTTCTAATCAGGTCAGATCAGTGGCGCCGTCTATGGGAACAAACTTCCCCGTTACTCCGAGCAGAAAACCAAAGTTTCACCAACACTTCGCGATCATGGCTAGCCCACACCACGACGATATCATGCACGACTTTGTGCTCAACGCCGCCACCAACGACAACAAGCAGATGGAGACGTCACGCCCAGCGGAGACCGACGAGAGAGACAGCCAGACTGCTTCTTCATCGTCCTCAGAACTGCTACGCCAGGCCGACCACCGGCCCCCGAGCCCAGCGGCGTTCCAACCCGTACCTGTCCCGGCAGGAGCGGACCCAATGGTGGCCACCCTCTTTGCGGCCATCAACCAGACGAACCATCTTTTGTTTCAGCAGAACGCACGAATTGGAGCGCTGGAGCGGGAGGTCCCCCCAAGGTCCCCTCCGCGGGAAGACCAGAATGAGGGTTCGAGGAGTTCCTCGCCTCAATCCAGAAATCGACGACCCCGGATGGAGAGGCCCCGAATGGAAGTAGTGCGGGAGCGCACCAGATCCCCAACGAGACAAGTTCGTGGGAGGCGGAAGAACACCTCAGCAATTCCGACCAGGAATCCGCGCGTCGAACCCCCGGTCAGAAGGCCGAGGATCCGAAACCAGATGCCTATCCTAAACAGTCAATCTCCTCCACGGTCACCCGCTCTCAGCGACGAAGACGACTACCGGACTCCCTTGTCCTAGGAAATCATGGCCGCCCCCATTCCCCACGGGATGGAGAAGCCCCTGACGCTCTCGACGTACGACGACACATCCAACCCGGATGATCACCTGGAAGACATCGAGGCCATGCTCGATTACCGAAACGTTCGAGGAGCTATTAAGTGCAGGCTATTCCCGACGACCCTAAGGAAAGGCGCCATGACATGGTACAAAAGTCTGGAGCCCGAATCGATTACGTCGTGGAGGGTCCTGAAGGACCTGTTTTCAAAACACTTCACAGCGTCCCGACGCCACCCGAAGACGGAAGTCGTCCTTGGCGCGATAATCCAAGCCCCCGACGAGCCTCTCCGAAATACATCGAAAGATTCACCCGGGAAGCGGTGCAGGTAACGACGTCAGACGACATGAAGCGTTACCTAATGGAGCAGGGTCTACGCCACGACTCCAAATTCTACGAGGCCGTGGGCATACACCGACCAACCTCCCTACAGGATTTCCTCGACAGAGCCGCACATTATATTCGGTTTGAGGAAACTCAAGCAGCCAACTCCGCACGAGACACCCGAGACAGGGAGGCCCCCTGTGGGCACCAAGATGACGGAGCCTCGAGCCAGCGGCGGGGAGGTGACCGCCGTCGGGAAGATCTCCCCCGCGAACACCGACTGTTGGATGACACCACTACACACCTACCTCAGCACCGGCCGCCTACCAACCGACACTTAAGAGGCAAGCGCGACCAAGCAACGAGCCTGCTCGTACGTCCTCCTCGAAGGCAAACTATATCACAGAGGCTTCGCGATCCCACTCCTCAAATGCATCGACAACTCCCAGACCGCAGCCTTCCTAGAGGAAATCCACGAGGGCATCAACGCGCAGCACCTCGGAGGACGCTCCCTGGCGAGAAAGGCCCTACGAGCAGGATACTACTGGCCCTCGATGCAAACGGACGCGAGGGAACACGTCAAACGATGCGACAAATGTCAAAGACACAGGGACATGCACCTCGCTCCACCGACCGAACTCAAATCCCTCTCCTCCCCGTGGCCATTCGCCTGGTGGGGGATGGACATCCTAGGCCCCTTCACCCTAGGCTCCTATCAGAACAAGTATCTCATCGTGGGCGTTGACTACTTCACCAAATGGATCGAGGCCGAAGCTCTGGCCAAAATCATGGCCCACAACATACTCCGATTTTACAAATAAAACATCCTCGCAAGATTCGGGGTCCCGCTCGCCATCGTAACCGACAACGGCACGTAATTCACGGACAAAAACTTCTGCGACTTCGTCACCAAACTCGGAACTAAACACCATTTCACCTCGGTCGAACATCCCCAGACAAACGGCCAGGAAGAATCTGCGAACAGGGTCATACTCAGGGGATTAAAACGACGACTCGGCGACGCAAAAAGGGCATGGGTCGAGGAACTCCACAGCGTCCTCTGGGCGTACCGAACTATGCCCCACTCAACCACGGAGGAAACCCCATTCCGCCTCACGTATGGAACCGAAGCAGTAATCCCGGTCGAGATACGCGAGCCGTCCCGACGAACTGAAGATCCCCTCGACACCGACGACGCCCTACGAGAGGAGCTCGACCTCGTCGAGGAGATTCGATCAGGAGAAGCCCTTCCAGAAGCCCGGCTGAAACAGCAGGTGGCACTTCGCCACGACTACAAAGTCCTGAAACGCGATTTCCAAATCGGCGACTTAGTCTTGCGCAGAAACCAAAAAGACTCACACGAGGGAAAACTAGCTGCGAGTTGGGAAGGCCCCTACCGTGTCCGCGACAAGACGGAGCACGGGGCCTACTACCTCGAAAACCTGCATGGGAAACAACTAGCTCGACCTTGGAATGCCGAGAAACTTAAGCGGTACTACAGTTAGACACTGCCCGCGATGATCCATCGTCGCGACCACTGGGGGGCGACATTGTACCACCGCACTTCCTCGCGTCTACTAACGACCAGAGAAAAGCAAGCCCTGCCTCTTGTGTGCGCGTGCAGAAGGCCTTGCTCGGCGGGGAACACCTCGACCGAGATTCCCCACCGCCGTACCAAAACCGGCAGGACACCCAGCTCGCGATGGGACGTCCACGCTGCGGGGAGAACTACCCTCAAACCGGTCAGGCAACAACGCCGGACAACCGGCCAGTTCCCTACACAGCCAGTAACAAGTATTGTCGAGCTACCACCCCGAATAGTCCAAAAAACAAACATACAAATCAAACATACGAACATACATTTCGAGCATAAATGCAAAAATAAAATGAGCATAAACAACATGTGAAAACGAGGCGCACACTTAGACAATTCTCAAAAATATTAATCAAAAGCGGGCACCAGCCGAGTAGTCAATATTACATAAATAAGGGCGCGCAGACCCGACAAAGAAAACAACAAAATACA